AAAAAACTATTCATAGAGGATATAGTATTTAATGAAACAATTTCATCATTCAAACCAAAAAGTGTATGTATCTTCAAAAGTTTTAGTGTTCCAAAATCCACTTCATACACAGTCCCAGATGTTGATGTTAAAAAACTAATAAAAGTATAAGTTTAAAATAAAGGAAAGGTTATAAATAAAAAACCCACTTCATACACAGTCCCAGATGTTGATCAAACAAGTTAAAAATATAATTTTTAATAAAAAACATTTTTTTCATAAAATCTTTTAAAAGACTATCATTAAAAATATCTTTTAATGTTATAAACATAAAAGTGGCGCTATCTAACTTGATAATAGTGTTTAATTATTATTTTCCTCAACTTTTTTTTATTATATATAATTAAAAAAAAAAATTATTTTATAATTAATTTTTTAGTTGGATATATTTTCTTAAAAAAAAACAACAACTTTTAAATGAAAAAATTCAAAACAAAAAATACTAAATATGTCTAAATAAACAAAAAGTTGTCAAACTTCATAATTATATTGTCACACATCAAACTAAAAAGTTTGATACAGAAAAAAGGTTTTTTTTTAGGTCTTCATAGTATTTTTTAATTTATTTTAATTTAGTTTAGGTTCATAGTTTTTTTTAATTCATAGTAAGAATTTTATAAAAACCTTATGAAAAAGCTAAAAAAGTCTTTTAAAAAAACACTTTTATTGTAACCCATCTAGATATAAAAGTTAACCATGTTAAAATAAGTAAAATTAAGTTAAAATGTAACCCATCTAGATATAAAAGTTATTAAATTGTTCCTTAAGAGGTACGAAGATATTCATTTAGAAGCCATAAAGATATAAGAGCTGAATTGAAGATTCCCTCAGAAACATGCAGTTATTTATTTATTTACTAATAGCTGATTGAACCCATAAAAATGTATTTATTTATATTACACATATAATCATAACTAACATATATTCCACATCGATTGCTTCCATACTTATTCCTCATTTACTTCAATACTTTCGAGTAAAATAATTCATTCTAAAAAATTGCTTTCAGAGCAACAAAAATTAACATACATACTCTACGCATACATAGGGCTTATAAGAGATTTATAATATAGTTTGTTTTACTCCTAAATGCATATATTTGATAGCTCAGTGGTTTAATGTTATCATCAGTGTCATTTTGGGGGTTCAAGTTCTACCCTTAGTATAATAAATTTTTCCGTATATATTAATAGCAAAGTAGGAGTAGTAGGACAGGCTTATTGATGGACATCAAGAAGTTCACCTTCTCAGTTTTATACAAGGCCAAATAGACTTCATAATATACGCCACAATCTATAAACTTGATCATTTATTCAAGCCTGTTTTATTCTTAAGAGTTTTAGTGCATGATGTCATTGATCTTTTTGTTTGTTTAAAAGATTCATTTTTTAAACAAACTAAAAAGTTAATGACATCATTAACTTTTTAGTTTGTTTAAAAAATGAATCTTTTAAAAAAACAAAAAGATCAATGACATCATGCACTAAAACTCTTAAGAATAAAACAGGCTTGAATAAATGATCAAGTTAATAGATTGTGGCGTATATTATGAAGTCTATTTGGCCTTGTATAAAACTGAGAAGGTGAACTTCGACTAAAACAAAAAAGTTAGTTTTTCTTGGGACGCATTTATACTTTTTTTTAGTCAAAAACATTTAGTCCAAACATTTTTTTTATCATTCTTTTATATGAACATGTCTCAGCAGTTTGGGATCACTTTAATAAAAAAAAATTTATAAAATTCCAAATAAATGCTTTAAACTAAAATTAAGGATATGTTACCACAATGCAATTTTCAAGTTAAATTAAAAATTAATAGCTTTATACAATTTTTAACATAACATAATTTGAAGTTAAAATAAGATAAAAAGCATAAACTTTTGTTTACCCTTTTTAATTAAAAAAAAGTGCTAGTCTTTCTTGTAATTAACTTTAATGGCTGCCATTAATTCTGTGTCAAACACGCACAAATGAGTAACGGCAGCTGTAGTTAAGGAGGCTATTTTTTTAATTTCTTATTTTTTATTGTAGTTACAACCCTCTCTTAACTCTATTACTCCGAAATACAAACCTCGATGAACAAGGCTACTGTGGGAAGAAACAAATTGAGCGCAGTACTACCAGGAACGTGTTAGGGATCAAACTCTGAACTTCTCGCTTATGAAGTGAGCGCTCTCCCACTACGCCACTACCGCATTTATTATTTAGAGATGTATTTGCTCTAGTAAACGAAAATCTATATGATCCTATAAAATTTTAGATCAAAATAAAAATCAGGTTTGACACCTGTTACATTTAAAAAAATTAGTTAAAAAAACTTTAATTTATCAATTTTTTTAAATTTATGAATTTATTTTTTAAACCCTAAATCCTTTAAGATTCAATAAGACTTATTGCCTAATTTTTTTGTTGTGTAATTTAAGTCAAGTTCACTTTAATCATTCATATTATTAAAAATATCAGAAAATATGTAGATTAAATAAACATGTTTCAGTAATCTCCTTATTAGAAAATTAGCAAACAGAAAAAAATAAATCTCAAATTAAAACTATTGATAAAAAAAAGCTTCCAAAAAAACAAAAATTATAAAATAAGTTCAAAATTAAGTAAAAAGTACTCTTTAAAAAAATTAGAAAAATAAAATTAAATAAAGAATAAATATTAAAAAAATTTTCAAAAAAAAAAAACAATCAAAAAACTATATGAACTAAAAATATTTTATTTTAAATAAAAATAATTATTTTGGTAAATATTTTAAAAATTAAAAAACTCTTTAAAAAAATACTTACAGAGATAATTTTGATGTAGCTTCATGCTTTTGAAAAACAAAATCTGTAAAATGAACAGCGCAAAACTTTCCGAGTTCAATTGGGATTGAGCGTAATGTGTTTGGTTTCAGCTTCCAAACACGTATATTATTCAATCCACATGAAACAAGTCTAAAAAAAAACATTGCAAAATACACTTACGCTTGCATACAGCTTTATGTATTCAGCAAAAGAAATAAATACTACTATTAATGATTACACTTTTATGTGGTTGCAAAATTTAATGATTACACTTTTATGTGGTTGCAAAAGCGATATACATAATATATTCACTCGCACACACACAAATAGAACTCCACGGAAAATATGTTTGTTTCTGGAACATGTCTGAGCTAGCTTTTAGAACCAGAAGATAATATAAATCCTATGTATAGAGGTTAAATCTATCATAGGTAATTTGAAGTATGGCTGGGTTAGCTAGATATGGTTCAGGGATAGAATTCGTTACACTGGTTTCTAGTATTACTTGACTCTATTTTACTGGAACATGCAATACTTAATTTCAACAAACATTGGTATGAGTGTGTATATATGTATATGTTTATATGCTTATATATATATATATATATATATATATATATATATATATATATATATATATATATATATATATATATATATATATATATATATATATATATATATATATATATATATATATATATATATATATATATGTATATATATATATATAAATATATATATATATATATATATAAATATATATATATATATATATATATATATATATATATATATATATATATATATATATATATATATATATACATTTATATATATATGTATAAATATGCTTGCATATACAGTCCCTAATCAAATATATATGTAAATATATTAGTTATAGGTTGTCATTTTTTATATATATATAATTATTTTTTTCCCCGACCAACATTTTTTAATGTTTGATGTTGTAGTGGTTTTTAACGTTTAATGTTGTAGTGGTTTCATTTACTGTTTTCTTTGTTATTGCTATATTTTATTCAAAACTTGTTTTTTTGATTGGTTAGTAACATTTGATCTAGATATCTATGAGCGCGTTTAACTCTGTATGATTTTGTTGTTTTTGTAGTTTTATATATATATTTATATTTTTTATCGGCTTAAGTTTATTTATCCAACAGGTACCAATTTTAGCAACTTGTTGTATTTATAATAAAGTTTTATCTTTAATAACATTGGTAATGTGGTTGAGTATTTTATGGTTTTCAATTATAATATAACAATTTTTTAATATATTATATTATCGTTTACATTTTAGTCTATTAATTTTTATCATTTTTATCAAAAACTTTTATTTGTATTTTATTCTGTGTATTTATCTAACTATATATATATATATATATATATATATATATATATATATATATATATATATATATATATATATATATATATATATATATATACATACATACATACATACATAACATACATACATACATACATACATACATAACATACATACATACATACATACATACATACATACATATATATATATATATATATATATATATATATATATAAAAATTTTATTTTATATTTTTTTATTTTATATATATATATATATATATATATATATATATATATATATATATATATATATATATATATATATATATATATATATATATATATATATATATACTTATATTTTTATTACTTATATTTTTAAAACTATCACCCTGGTAAGAAGTAATGTGGACTTGCAAAAAAGATATTGATAAAGTTAAAATATGAACACATAACTGGTAAATATTTTTCAACTTGAAAAGATTTGATTCATTTGTGTCTGTATTTTGCATAAACTTAAACATACAGGGCTTGTCCCAACTTGCTAAAAACTGACATTTAAAATGCTTTCTTTACAAACCAAGTTTTACATTACTATAATCACCTCTCTCAGTTTGAGGTAAAATACCCTTTTTAAAAATAAAATAAAAATGTTGCAGAAATCTCAACTGCTTGCACCTGAATTGATTGAACAATAAAAGCCGACTTACAATTTTAAAATACTTATGGAAATTAAGTGAAAGAGGGTAAGTAATAAAAAAATAGAAAAAAAGATTTATTTTTTTTCAACATCTTCACTTCCAACAAGGCTGCAAACAACCACTATTAGAGTGAGGAGTTACTGGAAGAAAAAAGATAAAGTTTATAAAGCAAGATAATGATTAAAAACAACTTAAAAGATTGCAAATTATATGAATCAGGAAAACAAGATGAAAGGAGAGAATTCCAAAGAACTGATGTTTGAGGAAAAAAACTAGACAAATAAGAATTTTTGGTTCACGTAGAAACAGTCACAATAAAAAGATGACACTTAATTGAATGACAAGTGACACAAAAATAAATTTTAGCAGATAGCACAAGAGAGGCTAGCACTTTAGAGCAGCGACAATTATAGTATTTATAGAAAAGAGAAAGAGAAGCAGCATTATGATGATCTGATAATGGTTGAAGGTTGGCTGCAAGAGCAGAAGCTACAAGAGCCTAATTTTTAAATTAAAATATGAGATTTTATGACCTGAGAATAGCAGGTGTTAGCCTTAGACAACCTTTTTACAATAGTTTCTAGCAGTGGTAAGCAGACGTCTTTTTTCTGGAGAATTGTTTTGCTGATAGATATGAAAGTAATGGTTGCGGTTGGAAATCACAGCAACACAATCAGAGGAAAACTATGGAGAAGAGTTAGGCTTGACTTGGAATCATTGAGCGGGAATAAAGGATTCCATGCTAGCCTGAACCCAAGAAGTTATGTAAGAAACACATTTCTCAGCAGGAAGACTAAAGATTTCTTCCCAAGGGCCATCATGAAGAAAATCACATAAAGAGTTTTAGTCAGTTTCAAGGTAGTTGTAAGAGCTACGATGATAAAGATTTTGATGATGAAGAAGAATGAGATAGTAGTATTAGAGAGATCAAACCATGATCAGAAGCACCAATTTATATTTTGTTACAAAATAATCAAATAACTTAAGAGTTATTTAACCACAACTATGACAAATAAGATCCCAAAATAAGAAATTGTTGAGTAAAAAAGAAAAAAGTTAACTTAGACTCAATATGAAACTCTTCTTTAATATAAGAAATGAGATATAAGACATTAAAATAAACAAGAATTATAGTGCCAATATAAATAATGAATAAAAACAAATATTATAGTGCCAATATATATAATAAATAAAAACTTAAAAAAAATACTATTTTACTTTCCTGGGAACTCGTTTTTTTAGGAAGATGCTAAAAATTCACAAATTAAAAAAAGTCATACTATACTTAAATAAATAGATATAGTATTGTAAAATACTATAAATAGATATAGTATTGTAAAATAAGGATATGCAATGTTTAAAATTAAAAGAAACAGGGAAAAAGTAACTTGTAATAACATACTATATTTTATGTAATAAAACAGTAGTTTTTAAAACAATTGAGTTTAGTTCAATTTTGATGTTCTTTGTGTCTAACAAAAAATTAAAAAGTGGTAACATGATTGGCATTATAATCTTAAATTGAAAATTTAAGATTATATTAGGGCTAATGATGTCAGAGAATCAGGGGGTCACTGGCAACCCCCTACCCCCCATACACATTTTTTCTATAAAGGACTTTTTTATTTTGATAAAGGTTTTGAAGTTTTTAGAAAGGGATTTTTTTAGTAGTTGATGATTGTGCCCTCCAACTCCCCCTCCCTCCTTCCCTCCAACTTTGAAAACCGCGTCGTCGGCCCTGTATATTTAGAAATGCAAAGTTCTGAAAAGATGTAGGTTATTTTAAAATAGTTATTTTCTACATTTATTAGATTGCACAGAAGTGTACATTATTGTCTATGTTTAATACATTAGTACAAGTGTACTTTGCATACAATGTACATAATGCAATTGCTAGTATTTATTTAATATTAACAGGAAAAATGAGTGCTTCTAAAATTACTAGATTCAATTTAGATTTAAAAAATGCCTACTCTTAGAGATATCTTGAGGAAGGGTCTTTTAATACAAGAATGTTTGCACGTTGAAAAAGATATTGACAAGTATGCAATGAAAAGTCAATTGAGATTTCTGCAACATTTTTATTTTATTTTCAAAAAGGGTATTTAAAGATTGCAGAAATATTGTTTATACTTACTTGTATTCACTAAGCCAAACCTTTTATTATTTATTTTATTTTTAAGGAGGCTGATTTCTGTAAGAAAACTAAGTGTAAAATTAGCAGACTTGGTTCTTCACCAGTGGACGAGATTGAATGCTCTTTTTAAGTTTCCTGTGGTTTTAAACAAGATATCTTTAGTACAGAAAATAGAATTAACCTGGAGTAAGTTTAGTAATATTTTTAAGCAACCCAAAAAATTGTTTCAACCTGTAAAATCAAATTAGATCAATTGCTTGACATTACATCTTGTAAATGTGAAATTACTTTATGTAATGAAAAGTGCTCAAAATTAAATAGTTGCCTAGATTTTGCATGTATTCAGTGTTTCTGTCCGAGGGAAAAAAAGATTCCAAAAAGTGAACTTATTTGGTTAAAAGCTTAAAGAAAAAAACTTGGTCACTATCAAAATATCAAATGACTTGTAAAGATACTAAGGAAACAGCTAGACAGGTTTCTTTAGAAAAGAGAAAGCTGAAAAGAAAGTCAAGTCTAGAAAAAAAAAAAATCAGCAAAAAAGGAGAAAATGAAACTTCATAGAATAAAGATCTTGTTGAGTTTTTTATAAGTGATGATAATTCAAATAGAATAGAAATGTATGATGAACCTGCTTCAACTGATAACTCGAAACTAAATTTACGTCTATTAGTAAAAGTGCTGAAGCATCTTTGAGATTTGATATTTCACCAGTTGCAACATTAACAGTAGTTTCAGCTTTTCTTCAAGACCTTATTAACACCTGGAATGTCCTATTTGGCTGTATATCCTAAAAAAGTTGTTAGAGCTTGGAAAGCAGTAATGACTAAAGCAAAGACATCTGAAGAAATGAAAATTCATTTACAATCTAATAAAGGTATATTTGCTGATGGCAGAAAAAATTTTACCAGAGTTTTAAAGCACAACCTTGTAACAAACGATTTCATCAAAAGGTAGTGACA